GCGGCCAACCAAATGATCCGGCAGGCGATGAACCCGCAGGCCATCCGGTCGATGCTGGAGATGCAGCGGGCCATGGGCGGTGGCACGGGCGGTGGCATGGATTTCAGCAGCCTCCTGGGGGGAGGCCCTGCGTCGGGCACGCCGACGTCGTCGTCGTCGTCGCCGCAGGACCTCTCCTCCGTCATGGAACAGATGCGGGCCATGATGGGCGGCGCGGCGGCTACCGGTGGAGCCGCCGGCTTTTCCAATCCCTGGTTGCAACCACAAACGCAACCACAACAAACGCAACCGCCACAACACCCGGCCGACCGGTACCGGAGCCAGCTCGAATCCCTCCGGGCCATGGGCTTTGACGACGAGCGGCGGTGCCTCGAACTCCTGCAGAGGCACCACGGGAACCTCAACCGGGCCGTCGATGCCCTCCTCTCGGAGCCGGAAGCCCAAGCCCCACAAGTGGAAGCCGCAGCGACGACGGAAGCGCCAACGGAAGCGCAAGCACAAGCACCGCTTGCCGCAAATGATCCCTCCCCCGAGCCACCCCTCCACGATCCCAAGGACGCGAGGGACAAAAAAGACGACTAAACAAAAGCCGAGCGGGAAACGAAACGAAACGAATGGTGCAGCACCCGCTTCGATGAACCTTCACTTGTGCACGAATCCATCCACGCGGCATGGCACTACTAGTACTCCTAGAACCGAAAACGAACGCAAGGAACACGACCACGACAATAGTAAAATAATGTGATGTTATAGCGATAACGATAATAGCAACTCCAATCTTCACCAAACAGCGTTTCGCGATGAGATTTCCTGGTGTCGAACCATCAATTACGAACTACAGTAGTCGTGTAGATGGATGGATCGCAATGGCGATCACCAACCTTGACAAAACAATTCATCACCATCAAGGAACACGACCGCGACAATAGTAAAATAGTGTTGATGTTATAGCGATAATGATAATAGCAACTCCAATCTTCACCAAACAGCGTTTCGCGATGAGATTTCCTGGTGTCGAACCATCAATTACGAACTACAGTAGTCGTGTCAAACTCGAACAAAACAATTCACCACCATCGTCCTGTATCGAAAGCAACAACAACAACAGCAGCAGCAGCACTCCTGCCAGCAGCAACAGCAACGCCGCGCCCTTCAACCCGTGGGGGGCGCMGCCCCAAGGAATGCCAATGCCCGACCCCGACCGGCTCCTGGCMATGATGGAGAACCCAATGATGCAGCAGATGATCCAGCAGATGGCCGACCAGAACCCCGACGCCCTCCGGGAGGCCCTCGAGCAGCAGAACCCAATGTTCCGACAGATGTTTGCCGGGAATCCCGCCGCGGCCAACCAAATGATCCGGCAGGCGATGAACCCGCAGGCCATCCGGTCGATGCTGGAGATGCAGCGGGCCATGGGCGGTGGCACGGGCGGTGGTGCTGGCACGGGCGGAAGCATGGATTTCAGCAGCCTCCTGGGGGGAGGCCCTGCGTCGAGCACGCCAACGTCGTCGTCGTCGCCGCCGCAGGACCTCTCCTCCGTCATGGAACAGATGCGGGCCATGATGGGCGGCGCGGCGGCTACCGGTGGAGCCGCCGGCTTTTCCAACCCCTGGTTGTCGCAACAACCCCAACAAACGCAACAGCAACCGCCACAACACCCGGCCGACCGGTACCGGAGCCAGCTCGAATCCCTCCGGGCCATGGGCTTTGACGACGAGCGGCGGTGCATCGAACTCCTGCAGAGGCACCACGGGAACCTCAACCGTGCCGTCGATGCCCTCCTCTCGGAGCCGGAAGCCCAAGCCCCACAAGTGGAAGCCGCCGCAACGACGGAAGCGCAAACGGAAGCACAAGCACCGCCGGCCGCAAATGATCCCTCCCCCGAGCCACCCCTCCACGATCCCAAGGACGCGAGGGACAAAAAAGACGACTAACCAAAAGCCGAGCGGGAAACGAAAGGAAACGAAACGAATGGTGCAGCACCCGCTTCGATGAAACGTCACTTGTGCACGAATGCATCCACGCGGCGTGGCACTAGTACTAGTAGAACCGAAAACGAACGCAAGGAACACGACCACGACAATAGTAAAATAGTGTTGATGTTATAGCGATAATGATAATAGCAACTCCAATCTTCACCAACCAGCGTTTCGCGATGAGATTTCCTGGTGTCGAACCATCAATTACGAACTACAGTAGTCGTGTCAAACTCGAACAAAACAATTCACCACCATCGTCCTGTATCGAAAGCAACAACAACAACGACACGCACAAACGAAGCACCGCATAGTGTTTAAGAATCGTTTTTAATACTAAACAGTAGCAACCGTGTCGTGCCGTGTCGTGCCGTGCCTGCCGATCGATCGATCGCCAAAGCACGCAACGGGCCACCGGCGCCACCGACGCKACCAACGAACTCGACTCGACTAGAGAAGAGAGTTGCGGGTGTCCTCCAGCTTCTTCATGATCTCCCCCACCGTCCGGTCCAGCTTCTCCGCGATCCTCGCCTGCTTCTCCGGCGACAGCGCGTGGAGGAAGGAGTCGCACAGCTCGCCGTCGATCACGTGCATCACCGGCGCATAGTACGACCGGTAGGCCTGCGGGTCCCGGCCCGTCGGCYKGGGGGCCTCCGACCGGAGGTGCTCCTCCAGCTGGGAGTAGAACTCGACGTCCTCCCGGGACCGGAAGGGGACCAGCGCCCCGATCCGCCCGGTCACCGTGGAATAGATCAGGGACTCCTCCACGCCCGCCACCAGGGACGACCGGGTCAGGCTCGTCACGACCTCCCCGACGTGGTACTGGCACAGCGTCTCGAGCCKGGAAGCACCGCTGCCCCCCYGWKGGGCCCCCGCCCTGGTGGAGGTCTCCCAGAGGGCCCGCTGGCCGCCCGTGGGGTCCACGGTGGCGGTGTCGGTCCCCCGGGGGAGCCGGAGGACGCTCACGTTCCCGAACTTGTCCCCGACCGCGACCGTGTCGAAATCGAGGAGCTCCTGGCAGACGACCGGACGGGGGGACGGGTCGTTCGCRACCAGCACCAGCCGGTTGGCCTGGGCCTCGTACCGGACAATGTGCAGGGACCGCATCATGTCGCCGAGGTAGGCCCTGTGGAAACGAAACGAAACGAAGCAAAAGAAACAATGCAATGCAATACAATACAAGAGGTTGGGTTGGGTTGGGTTGGATATAGTTAGGAACGACCGAAAAAGAGCCTAGACACCGGCTTCCTCTACCAACTGCGTTCGAGCAACCTACCGATCCCCCGCCGTTTGGAGCGTCTTGACAAAGGTYGGGAGGCCCTTCAGCTCGCACTTTCGCAGCAGCTGCCGCTTCCCCATCTCGTACAAGCGGAGCGTCCTTCCGATCCCCACCAGCAACCGGCCCTGAAAGTGCGCCATGGCCAGCACCGGGCCGTCTCCCTCCGCGCTGTTCATGGTCGTCTTGTGCAGGAGCTGCAGCCGTTCCCCGTCGACGATCCGGTACAGGATCACGTGGCTCGAGGCCTGCTTCAGCGGGTGCATCGTCATCCCCGTCACGGTCCCCACCGCCAGGAGGGATTCCCCCCCGCGGGTGTGGAAGCGCACCGACGCGCAGCACAGGGCCGCCTCGTTCCGGCCCATCTCGACGCAATCCAGGCTCTCGCACGAGTTGGAGGGATCGACCAGGCGGACGCAGGATCCCCACGAGGTCCCGCCGGGGGGAATCGGCCCGCGGACGGGAGTCGCGCGGGCCGCCGCCTCGTCGTCGTCTTCCTCGTCTTCGTCGTCGTCCTCCTCCTCCTCCTGCTCCTTGTCTTTGCCGTCTTGGTCTTCGGGCTTCTTTTCCTCTTCCTCGTCGCTGTCGACGTCCATGTCCATGGCATCGTCGTCGTCGCCTCCCTTTTTGGCTGCCTCGGTGCCGTCGCCGCCCTGCGACTTGGAAGACTTTTTACCGGTCGGATCGAAGCCCATCGATGTCTTCTCCTCGAGGCCGTAGTCGTTGTAATCGCTCTCGACCACCGCCAGGACCACCTTGCGCTGCTGCTCCGTCGATGGTGCCGCGGTCGTCGCCGTCGTTGTGGACAGCAGCGTCATCTGYCGTGGCGTGTACCGGAGGGAGACCTTGTTGGCGTGAAAGGCCTCGTCGTCGTTTCCGTCCAGCCCCKAGGCATCGATCGAAAGGATCCTCAGCGTCTTTCCGGACGTCGCCACCACCCCCTCCGGGACCGCCTCGCTGGAAAAGGCGCAGCCGTGGTCCAGCGGGGTGTAGGAGAGGGGGGCCATGGCGTGCTTTCCGGTTCCCGAGGTGCTCCCCGGCGAGGAGGAGACCGCCCGCGAGATCCACGGCCGGCTCGAGAGGAGCAGSAGGGAATCCTTCCCGTCGATYGGGATCCGCGCCACCGAGACGGGCCGRGCCCCCAGAAACCGCCGGGTGGGGCTGGTCCCGATCGCCCCCGTGATCGGATCGACGGTGGCCCGCAGGGAGGACCCGTCGTCCAGGCCGACCATCAGCACCAGGTCGCCGCCCTTCTCCAGCGAGGGGAGCAGCCGGACGCTGTTGGGCCGGCTCTGTAGCGTCGTCAGGCCGAGGACCGTCAGCAGCTTGTCCGGGCCGGGCTCGAGGCTAACGATCTGTACGGTGGAGTCACGGCACCCGATCGCGCAAAAGAGGGACCGCTCCCTCCCGGCTTCCACGACGCCGACGTCGAGGCAGCAGACGTCGGCCTTCATGCGGCGYTTTGGGCCCTGCGCGAGCTTTCCGTTCTGGGAATCGAGCTCGAAATAGATAATCTCCCCACCGGCCAGCGCRACCATGACCTGGGTCTGGTTTGCCGAGGCACACTCGACCTTGTTGAGACCGGGAACGTGCCACTCCAGGGCCTTGCCGGACTGGATGTGACGGACGCCCTGGGTGTGGATCTGGCAGCAGGAACCGTCCTTGAGGGCCGTGCAGGCGAGYGTGGGGGAGTTGGTGGTGAAACCGGACTCCCGGCCGACCTCCTCCACCGTGTCCCCGACGCTGAGGACGAGGGTGGCGTCGGCAAAGGACACCACGATGTACTTGGAGGGGCGGGTGTGCGTTTCTTCGCCGGTGGAGGACGACAGGTCGTCGACCGTGAAGATGGCTCCGGGAACCCCGGGGAGCTCCGAGACCGCCAGCTCCGTCACGCTGCAACCGTGCCGGAGGGTCCGCAGGCAGGCGGTGGGGCCCCTTCCCCCGAGGGCGTAGATCTGCGGGGAGACTTCCTGGCCGCCCGTGAGTTCCCCGACCAGCAGACCCGTGGTCGGGCTGAGGTTGTCCAGCCCGTCGATCTTGATCAGGTTTTTGAGCTTGTGGGAGGGGACAAAGGTGGCCACGTCGGTGGTGGCTTGGTCGTCGTCGCCGCCGCTGCGGCTGGTTTCGGTCGGGGCGTCCGGSAGGTCGATGCGCTCGAACTGGTACAGCCCGTGGTCGGTCGTTCCCCCAAACTCGGTCGGACAAAACAGGAGTCCCTTCTTGGAAACGTTGAGGGCATTGGAGGGCGGGAGGGTGTCCAGAAGGGCCACGGTGAGGGAGACCACCCTGGGKTCTTCCCCCTCGTCGCCGCTGCCGTCCGACAGTCCAAAGTCGATCTTGAAGACGTCCCCGACCTCGGTCTGGCAGAGCCCAAAGAACTTGTTTCGTTTCTGCTTGTGAACCGTCAGCTGGGTCACCAGCATCTTTGTGTCGGGCTTGGAGGCGTCCCAGGCCCGCTTTGGGAGCCGGCACGAGACGCCGGCCCCCGCCTTTCCGTTTCCGCTCGCGTCGCCCTGKTTGTGGTACCACGAGACGGTATCCTCGGACCCCACCAGGACCCCCGACGGCCCCCCGTCGGCGCAGCCGGGGAGGGCCGCGAGGCTGTAGGCGGTGGAATCCACGGCGACCGCCCACTTGCGGCTCACGTGGTTCAGTCCCAGGTCGAGCTCGTAGTAGGCCAGCTGCTTTTGCGGCGGCTTGGTCCCAGCGTGGCGGCGGTCTCCGTCGTCCTCCGGGTACTGCACCTCGAGGCAGGCAAAGAGGGGGTTGTCGTAGCCGTTGTCGACACCRACGGTGGCGATGCAGAGGGTCCGGGCACGGTGGGCCTCGAGGGGGCTCGCCAGGGCCATCGTGGAGCCACCCGAGCCACCCTCGCCGCCGCCCTGCTGGTTGAGRACGTAGACCAGCTTGCGCTTCTCGGTGGCGCTGATGCAGATCGCCCGGCCCTTCGGATCGGTGGCCAGGTGCTGCCCCGGGGTCGACCGGCGGCAGCCCGTCTTCCCAAAGGGGGGCGTCACCAGCACCCCGCTGCCGTCGCCGCGGCCGTGGGTCTTGTCAAAGTCGACCAGCCCCAGGCAGCCGGAATCGCTGCTGAGGGCCAGGACGTCCCGTTTTTCCCCGACCAGGCGRACCGAGGCCAGGTCGCGGAGGATCGACCGYGTCTCGATCCTCTGCTCGAGCCGCAGGACGCTTCCGCCCGCGCCCGCGGAGGCACCGTGGTGGATCCCGTAGAGCTCGAGGACGCCGCCCGTCCGGGCCACCACGATCTGCTGGAGCTTGGACCGGACGCAGGCCTCCGTGAACTCCCCGAGRACGCTCCCCAGGATCGCGCTGGAGGGCTTGAGGCGGACGTCCAGGAGCTTCATGGCCACCGCCGTTACGGGGACCCGTGCCGCCTCGTTTCCGTCGGCCGCGTTTGCGCCGCTCGCTCCCGGACCACCGGCGCCGAGGGCCGACTCCTTCGAGGCGCTTTCGCCGCCCTGGTCCGGCTTGGTGGCTTCCTGCTGGCCCTGGAGGGCCGAGGGAACCGAGGCCTGGGGCGGGGGCTTTGGGACGGTGGAGGAACCGATTGCGGGCGTGGACATGCTGGTGTTTTTTTTTTCGAGAGTGGTTGCGGCGTTCGATGCAACGGCTGCAAAACGAGGGCGAGAGCGGGTGTTCGTATTGATGTCGTCCGGAACGAGAAGGTTCGTGGTTTGGTACCGTTCGGTTTGTTTGGGATGAGATGCGATGCGATGCGGATGTCTTCCTGTGCTATGACGTGATATGCTGTGCTTTCTTCCGTAACGCAATATAGCAAGCGGTGCCTGTTGTGTCTAGGATGAATGCACCGTGAGTATCGACTCTATCTTTGCAACTGTATCTATCGCACAAACAATGATCCCCGAGACTTGTTTCGTTTCCACGCTCAATCCGATCCACGAGCCAAATTTGATGCTGTTCCCGATGGCAGGATTGACTTTTTTTAAAAGTACAATGCCGTGCTGGCTTGTTTCCGAAATTCTCCGCAGCGATGTCAAGAGGATCCTCCCAAACACCACAGGGTCCCAGATAGGTTGTTGGCAGTCGTTGGTCGTTTGTGCTGGGTGTGGTGTCTCCCAAATCTTCTCGTGTGGATGTGCATCCTGTATTGGCGCATCGCACCCTGTCTGTGCTCGTTCTTACTGTACGGTACCGTAGCGCACTGGAGGAAACTCATACCTTCTGGTATGTACAGAACGTTGCATTGTCACCCTTTCTCGGTCGAAGGAAGGACGTGAGTAAAAGGCGCGGGGATGATGTCCAAAACAAGCKCGTKTACTACGGTAGGTACTCGTATGTAGAGGCATTAGTACCACTTGAAAGTACTACGAGACGATGATTAGGACGAACTTGGATATTTATGTCATAAAATCATTTCTATGTATGGTATTGCACTATCAAACATATGAATATGAAGCTGAAAGAGGACTATCCTTAATGAAAACGTAGGTACCGTAATTAAGTACTRTACGTACGTAACAGTAAATATTTACTTAAAACCGTACTTTCTTGTACCATGTGGTAACRTACAAAGGCACAGTAGCATTTGCTAAATGAACAATTATTCSAAATTCCCTATTGCCTTAGGGCTTGTGTTAGGGTTCGAACTTGGAGCTTTTGGAACATTCTACCGTAGAGCTTAAAAAATACTTAAGGATTGATGAGGATTGTTGCCAACSTTCAAAAGACTTCGCTCGATCCTGCCAATTTTGTTGATCCAACTCGAATACAACTGTGCTTCTASGAAACTTCATTTGGAATACAGTACTGCAATGGATTGACAAAAAGAATTTGAATGACCCCAACCCCAAATGTTCCTTCGAACTTTCTCAATAGAACAAAATGACTGCGTGACTGGGTGGTACACCACCTGATTGAACGGAAAGAACTGTTTTTATGCCCTAGCTCCAAAAAACGAACCGGTCTTGGAGWACAARAATATTGCAATTGTTGTCAATGCTGCCGCACCCAACTGTACTTTAATGACTRGTGACTGTACTACCGTAACACACGTAGTCGYTACGTAGCGAAAGTTTAATGATAAAACGAAACAAATCAGTGAGAGAGGTTGTACAGTACGAACTGSGTATCTGTTTCCATTTACGCGAGAAATCATTACTCCGCAACAAAGCTCGGATACAGGAATCCGCCAGCTTTAGCTTTCCAACGACGGGCAACGATACCAGAGGTGCCAGGAAGGCAAGCATTYYGTATTATTCGAACAAACTGTATCGAATCGGATTCGATTGGATCGGATCGGATCGGATCGGATCTGATTCCAATCCTTGAATWGTAGGTGGTGCACAGTGAATGGAACGGGGCCACCTGTTTCGTTCGTCCCAGATATTAAACGGCGATGAAGAGCTCGTCGTCCTCTAGTCGAAGGCTGAGCACGGGGGAGCGGAAAAAGAAGAAAGAGAGAAAGGGCAGGAGACACACAACGATGCCTCAGACAACAGCCCTAGAGCTCGTGCAGACAGCCTTGAAAGATCACGACGACAACGACAACGATGGCGAGGCCAACCACCTGGAACCACTGGCAGCGACAAAGAACCGCAAGAAAAGTTCCAAGATGAAAAAGGCGGATGCTCTGGAAAAAACAACACTCGAAGAAGACGAAGAGGGACCATCAAAACTTTTGCCCGGATCATCTCCCATCACGCAGTCGAAGAAAAAACGAAAATCAAAGATGCCCAGCAGCCGAAAGCTGCTGGCCAACACGGACAAACGCCAGTCCATGCCAAACCCCTCGTTTCGTGCATCGGTGTCCAAAAGGAACAGCAGCAGCAGCGAYGGGAACCATCGAACGCCCACACACCCCGTGCGAAAGGATTCCTCGACGTCCAAAAACAGCAGCAAGCAACGGAGGTCCCGGCACTCCACGCTCGGTCACTCGCTTCAAACCTCCGCCTCCAAAAACAGCGGCGACCCCGACCAGCGCAGGTCTCGGCACTCCACGYTGAACCGCTCAACCCATTCTTCGGCTTCCAAAAATAGCGGCGACAAAGGCAGGGCCCGACACTCGGCCTCTGCACGCATGYTGGAGGACGGAATCGCGAAGGACGGCARCAAGAGCGGCAAAACCAAGAGCAAGAAACAGAACCGGAAATCGGTTGCGGCGACGATAAGCCGCTCGAGCATGTACGAATCGCCGTCGCTGGCGTCTTCCAACAAGACTCCCAGAACCAGCCAGAACCTGAGCAACACCCACCACACAACCATTCCGTTGATGGAAGAAGCCGAAAGCATGGAGGACACGGCCGACGACAATTCCAAATCCAAGTCCCGGTCGTCCTCGAGACTGAGAAAGGCCAGGTCACTTTTTGGTGGACTCACGAGCAGCAGGGTAATCCGAAGCATGAGCAGCGACGAGGACCTCGGCGTAGAAAGCAGCAAACCCGACAACAAAACCGGCAGTWCCAAAGAAGCACAGTCTCTCCTGGGATGGGCCAAGAAGAAAATGGCCAGCACCGCAAACCTCAACTCAAACACAAACGTTCAGAAAASCAAGAAGGAAAAGAGATATAAACRAAAAAGCAAAGCGAGCGAGGCAGACGACGATGCCGATGGCAAATCAAAACAAAAGAATCTGTTGGATCTCGTTGTGGGCGGAATCACCAGTGGCCACAGCAACAACAAGCAGCCACAGGGAGCGAYGGATGTTTCGTTTGACGACGAAATTGCTTCGAACGAYATTGACAAAAGCGAGCTTCTYGAGAATAGCGAGCACCTGAAAATCAATCAYAGCACCAGCGGCAGAGGMAATCTGAGCGGGATGAGCGGAATGAATTCTTCTGGGACCATGGACGGTTCCCARGAATGTCCCCCGGTGTGGCAGATCAAGGCCGTCGCCTCCCAGGACGGAAATCTTGTCGACGACGRGGACATCTCGGACATTGGGGAAAACACGAACCACGACTACTTTCCACGCGAGGACGTTTTGGAGCCKGAGGTCATCGATGGAGTGACGGTGTTCTACCATGCCGACAGCGACGACATCGTGTACGAAAAGAAAAGGCACCCGGGAACGGTGTTTCTGCGTTCCATTATTCGGGAAATCCTCGACGACACCAATACCGACCGGTTTTCTCCAAAGATCTACAAGCTCATCAAGAAACGCCTCAAGAACCGAAAATTTCTGGTGAGATACAGTCCTTCCCAACCACAACCGGATGTGCAGGACCTCGATTCCTGGAGGGAGGCTACAAAACAAGAAAACATTCAATTGCTGGGGGCAGCCTTTGAGAAAGAACWCCGCCGGCAACGGAACGAGATCGGCAGCGACGATAGCGACGACGATCCATCCGATTCCGAAATCGATATCAGTCTGGAGGGGTCTGGCAGGGCACCGAGCTTCCAAGAAATGAGCAAGGAAAACAAGCTAGCCATGATCAAAACTCACAGGAATAACGGTGATGAAGATTCCAGCCCCACAATGTCCTCGATAAAACACACCGCGTTGCCATTTGTTGTCCCCGCCGACGACGGTGTGGAACCCAATTCCGCGTTGACTCCCCGTCAGGGCAACCTCGAACACAATTTAASCTATCGCTCGGAGGAAAGCAATGCCATGAAAGGAGCACTGCGTGAGTGCCGTTTGGCACGGGAAGTTCTTGCCGGTGACCATCACGACGATGCTGTCGTTCAGGATGGAATGGTAGCCGAGGAAAAACTCGCATTGCTTCTGGCAAGGATGGCTGAAACCGACGAGGAAGACGGTGAAGTGTCTTCCCCAATCGGTCTCCTGAACGATGCCCTCAATCAGCTGGATCGAGCSGCGCATCGAAGGAAATATGCCAGCATTGCCCCCCTTCTTGAACGATTGCAGAAAATCGAGAGCGAAATGGAGCACTGTGTTAGTCGAAAACAACAGAAGCGCGAGACACGCAAGAAACGATCGGAGCGACAAAAAGAACAGCAGAAAGACAAATACCACAGCAACGATAMAGGGAGGCATGGCCGCAACGAACGGCAAGGCGACGTTCAAGCCAGCAATGACGACCGTGCATTGTATGGAGACGATACTGACTCCTGCGATATCTCCGGTCTCCACGACGACGTGGACTATCGGTCCGAAGAAGATCGAAATTATGACAACAACTTCGAYGGGGATGACGACAGTGACGATGAGTCACGAACGAATTTGCCAAATGGCCACATCTTGAACCTCGACGGATCCGATGACGACGTGAGCAGCGTCGGCGATTCGGGCATCTACAGCGAATCGGAAGACGAGATGTCCGGTGAAAATTCTCGTGACGTTGATATCTCTAGCGTTGGCGATGACGAGGATGGGATAGACTCGGATTCCGATGATGGCAAGCCGAAGAAAATTTTAGAGAAAAAAAATCAAAAGCTCGAGCAATATTTTGATCGCGTCGACCATCTCTTCCAGACGAGAAGAAAGTTCGAGGAGAGAGCCTCTGCCGTGGATCCTTCCGGCAAGTTCCAAAAAATAAAGGTAAAAGCTCATTCAGGTGGTACCGTGATCGAAGAAGAAGGACAGGTGTACAAGAAAGAATACCAGCAGCGCGATCCCAGTGATCGCATCGTGCGAAACCTCGACGACCTATACGAAGCGGCGGAGCTTGCACAGCCCGAATTCGAGTCCTTCCTTCGCCTCTTGGCCGAGGAGATCAACGGACTCGACGTGACAGAAAGCCTGATAGTTCCGAAGTTAAAATCCCGGGACCGGGCATTTGAAAAGGCCAACTCCGAATACTTCCGCAGAAATCCCGGACCACCCGAGTCGTGGCTGCATGATATTGTCCGGGGCGGGATAGTGTGTAAATCAATCAAGCAGCTAAAGGATGTCAACAACTGGCTATCCTCTAGTGGCCACCTCGTGCAAGCCAAGAACAGATTCTTGGAGCCTGTTTTCAATGGATACCGCGATTTGCTGTACCACGTTTCCATTCCTTACCAGGATGCATTGGTCCACATCTGCGAGATCCAGGTGCACCTCGAGGACATTTACGTCATGAACAAACAGTTCGGAACGATCAAACACTATGAGTACTTCCGATCTTGCTTTGCCAATCCGTCGAGGTCTCAAGAAAACACGCTCTCGGATCTATCCATGATGAACGAACATGGCAAGATCGCGGGGCGGCTGATGAAAATGCTGCTAAAATCGACAGACATTGAACAACTCCGGTTATTTGCAGGGCTCTGTCGTGGCAATTTAGACGAATTCGACCGGTCCCTCGAGTTGTACAGACGTATACTCCATCTACAGGAACAATCCCATGGCCCTGAGGACCAAGAATTGGCTACGACGTATCTAAACATTGGACTGGTTCTTGGTGCCCTAGGCGATACCGATGAGTCGCTGCTCAACTTATTGAAGTCTCTGGCCATCCAGGAAAACTTTCTAGGCATGGAACACATCGAAGTCGCAAACACTTATGTCGAAATCGGGCACATGCTTGTCAAACGGGGGGATTACTCCGGCGCTTATTCCCAGTACCAACGGGCACTAGTGATCCGAGAAAAAAAGCTGGGTAAAGATCACTTTCTCGTTATCAAATCGCTTCAGGACATTGGATTGGTGCTGCAGAAAAAAGGYGATTTCGAGGAGTCGGAGACTGAGTACCGTAGGGCACTAGGTATCCAGCAGCAAGTGCTTGCTGAAGGGCATCCAAATGTGGCCACAACGCACTCGTTGATTGGGACAACGCTGAGCCTCTATGGTGACTACGAAAAGGCCATGGCGGAACACAAGCTGGCCTTGTCGATACGTRAAGAGAAACTTGGGAAAATCCATTCGAACACAGCGGATTCCCACAGCGCCATTGGCGTTGTTCTATACCACCTGGGCGATTTGAAGTCGTCCCGGTGGCACCATAAGAGGGCCCTTTGGATCAGAGAGTCCGTGCTCGGCAAGAATGACATTGCTTGTGCCGCATCACACTCCGCTCTGGGCGAAATCCTGAGCTGCTGCGAAGACGATGAGGGAGCTGTGATCGAACTCAAGCGGTCTCTGAACATTTTGGAGACCAATGTCGGCATGGACAACCCAGTGACAGCCGGCTCCTATTTGGAGCTGGGTGACATATATTCCCGACACGGGAAGGATGACGATGCCTTGGCGCAATACCGAAAGGCAAAGGTCATTCGGGAAAGCATTCTGGGGCAAAACCATCCCGATACAGCCCTTACGTACATGTGTATGGGAAAGGCTCTCGGGAAGATGGGGAAAGGATACCACGAAGAGGCCCTTGCAATGCACAAAAAGGCAGTTGTGGTATTCGAATCCATGCTCGGTGACACGCATCCTGTGACCGCCACCGGGTACTCTTTGAGAGGGGATACCTTCGCGTCCAATGGGTTCCTTGAAGCGGGCCTGAATGAACACCAAAAGGCATTAAAAATACGCAAGACTGCCCTAAAGGTKGGTCACCCAGACATTGCCGAGTCATGGGCCCGAATCGGTAACCTGCAGCTTGCGGATCCGGGGGATGAAGCATCCTTCGCCCCCAAGAATGCTTGCTACAGTTTCCGTCAGGTTCTCACGAACCTCGTTCACCGTTGTGGCGAAGACCACCCTGATACTGCCATGGCTCATGTCGATGTGGCTCGTTCCCTGCTTGTRCTGGCGGAAGAGACGACGTTGGAGACGGACGAACGGGAAGGCTTTTGGGATGAGGCCACAGGGCAGCTCCGAACTGCGCTATCAATCTTCCGAACGATGGATCCCTCCGTTGGGAAACACAACAACAGCGATAGCAATCTCAGCAAYGACTCTGGTAGCGCGAGCGAGAACTATCGGGACGAAGCTGTTTTGGGCCGCACCTGCGTGACCCTCGCCACGATCCTCGAAACGAGGGGCAACGACGAAGACGAAGAAGAAGCCCAAAAGCTCTAYACCGAGGGGCTGGAGTGCCTCACTTCGTGGCTGGGGGAAGACCATCCGGAAACAAAGGGTGCGAAAGAAAAACTTTTAGCGTTTCGTTCCACACGGAGCGGCCCTTCCTCGTAGATGKCCACTGGTTTCTGGTTCTAGTTGCTAAAATTGGTGATTGTACTAWTACTCTTAAATATTTTGTGATAAGTGTACCATTAACACGGTTGGTTTAGCTATCGAGTACTGGCGTTGTTGTAGTCATTCATTCCGCTAGAACTACTCCCAATATTTTGGTAGCTRTTACAATAGTGGAAGAATCTATGGCTTCGAAGTACTAGCAGTGTCTGTATTGGATGCGCCTCTAACTACTACAATTTCCATGTCATGCACTTGTATTTCATTTTTTGTCCTCTATTGCAAAACTGATACTAGTCTGAGATTCAATGTGGCATTCATAGATGCTTGCCCCCACCAAGTAGCCATTTGTTTGTGATTTCTTCTGGTTGATTTGTGCTGAATTATTTCTTCCAGTTGCTCTGTGCTAAATGATGTTAGTATTACCATACCAGAATGATGGTGGTGTGATGGTATGTTATTATCATATTTTTTACTACATGTAGTAGTAGWAGWAGMAGSAGSAKYRTKATKATWMTASWASWASWASWAYWMTACTAYTWKTWGTATGCTGCTCCCCATCATAACCCCCTCCCCCCAATGTAGTAGTACAATGGCTAGTACTAGTACTAGTAGTACAATGGCTAGTTGGAGAGGAGCTAAAAAACTCTATATCACTATATTTCTTCTTGAATCTTTTCCTTGTGTAAAACAATTGGTACAAAAAGATTGGTGCCAATATTCCTACTGTTGGGTTGTCCTTTGTTCCTTCTAATAGTAGTAGATATTTGCTAGTACTAGCACGACAAGTATTGTTTGCAGCATTTCTCATTTATTTTTCTCTCTCCTCCTGTCTGGCAAGAAGATTTTCAGATCAAGCTAACCATTGGTATTGCTGTTTGTTCAAGCTACTGATACCATATCACAAGAAAGTACTTTTTTCTGTTACTACTGTTATCAACCCTGCTGAATACTATTGCAAGAACAAGAAGAACAGATTCATGATATTCATGGGAAGTGCAGCATTGCAGCAGTCAAATAGTTTTGATGGAATATAAACCAACAATTATGCTTAACCACAAGTGGCCATTGTTTTTAACTTTTGGAGACACAATACTACTTGTGGTATACAGCAGTTCTACTAATATTTGTTCATAAAATTGGTGGAAGAATAATAGTAATAAATGCAAGGATGTGGTGGTCACCATCATRGTGCTGATATCTTTGATACTCTTTTAGTACTAGTAGTAATACTTCTCCTATTATAAATGATGCTACCATATAAGTAGCATATAGGAAGAGCAATATATTGGGAGATACTAGTGTCACTGTCATCCAATTCTATTTATCTGCTGCTTGTTGAAATGATGGGGGACATGATTGTTGTTGTTGTTACTTCTTCTTATCTAGCTACTACTATTAGTAGTGTGCTTGATGTTGTTCTTGATCTTGTGGTTGGTTCTTGTTGTTGTTGTGGTCGGTTCTTGGTGCTGTTACTACTAGTACTAGTACTACTAGTAGTACAAGAACAACTATTCTTGTTGTTGTCGTTCTTGTCATTGGTGCTCCTCCAGTGGTCAGCTTTTCATGGTGTTGTTTCTAGACAAGAAAAACAGCTGCTGTTGGGTGCTCCTTCTTGTTGCTGGTGTTCTACTACTAGTCTAGTACTGCTTGTCTTCACAAAAGTATTTCAGGATTCTACTAGAAACTACATGCACAAGGAGAAGAAAAAGAGAGGAATGTTCCCATTGGGTCCTACGAGTGGTTACTACGCAACGTACGTACGTACGTACGTACGTACCTACCTACCTACCTACGATCCAACTCATCCGTTCCCGAGCCGGCCAGCCACGCAACGCCGCATCCCGGAGAAATGACACCCTCGTATATGTAGGCTACTGTCGTAGCTGGCCCGCGTTCACGCGTCCGCAATCGTGTGAGCTGGTTTCCCACGAACCAATCCGCACGAGCCGCGCCGACTTGTCAAACGCCTGGTGCGTACGAGGACCGTATGTACGGTATCACTATGGTTCGAACGGGTAGGTGTTTCTTTTGATTGGAGCCGTCTACGCTACCGTAGCGTACATACCGTTCTGTTTTGTTTTTTACAGTATTCGGCAGTGCATGCTCTTCTGGATGGTCCAGGAACGACAGCGACGGTCGCGCAGCGTCGTTTGCACGAGACRAATCAGCACGAGTACGACGGTGACATTCTTTGATTGCATGATTTTTTGTGTTGCTCGGTTTTCGCTAGAACTTCCTCGTGSTGGTGCTAGTGCTCGTGCTCGTGCCCATCCGGTGGTTCGAATTTCCCGTCTTTTTTTGTTTGCGGATACATACATACCCTTTTCTGCCCTTTTTTGACGTTTCGACCCTCCTTTGCCTTGGTTTCACAATCATTTTGTTTCCCTAAAACACACAATTGTCACCATCAATCATCGACCCCTCCCCCAAGAACAGGTTCGACTACCGTACATCCCTATCATAGGAAATACTTGTAATAATAATCGGTAATCGCAATCCTTGTTTCCTGCCTCCGATATCAACAATATTGGATCCCTCGAAAATCTCAATCCAATTTGACTTGACTTGTGTTGAAAGGAAGCATCCCATCCGGATCCAATCATCCAGAAAGCAAGCWAGACGGGTCTCACATCACAAACCATACGATCACCCTCTGTAGTAGTTAGTAACTGTAACAAGCAACAGGTTTCTGATCCAAGCCAATCCACGAGCAAAACACCGAACCAAGGCACAAACAACGATAAGATCCAGCCCAGCCCAGCCCAGCCATGTCCGAAGCCGAAGCTCCCCCCGGCCTCCCCCCCAAGGAAGAACCCGTCCCACCGCCTCCCCCCCACGACCCGACCGGGGCGGCGGCCGCCGCCGTGGCCGCCGCGAACAACGTCGGCGTGAGCGTGAACGTCGTCGACGTGGACGTCTCCATGGAGGCCCCCCCCTCCTCGGAGGTCCTGGCCGCGGCGGCCGCCGCCGCCGTAGCGAACGTCGGCGCGGGYGTCGATCCGCAGCCGGCACCGCAACAGCCGCAGCAAGCCCCGCCACCGGCCGGGGGAGCCGCCGGGCCCGTGGTGCCGGTCCAGCCGCCGGTGCCACAGCAGCCCCAGGCCACCGGGAGGCTCTCCCTCCTGAACGAGGAGGACGCCCAGGGAAAGAGGCGCTTTTTCCCCAGGGTCAAGCACCTGATTGGAAACAAGGAGTGGGAAGAAGTGAGTTGAGTTCCTCGGGAGTCTTTTTGTTGCGTGTAATGTTGTGTTGTTTGATGTGATGTGATGTGATGTGATGTGATGTAATTTTGAAGATGTATGATATCGAATCGATTCGTGGCTTTGCCTGCTCCGGTTGGATTCTTGTTGCCCATGCCCCTCGATGCACTTGCTTTGGTTTCCTCTCTCCTAACCCTTCCCCTTCCATTTGTTGTCGTTGTCGTTGCTGTTTTGCCGGCCCGCCAGTTCCTCACGCAGGTCCTCCAGTGCATCGAGGAGGCCGGGGCACCGGACGCCGCCGCCGCCTCCCACAAGTCCAACAACCCCTGGTACCGGGCCTTTGACCTCATCTACGGGGGCGTCGCCCGGGAGTACTCCATCCCCACCGGCAAGAACCGCTACCACAAGTTCAAGGACAAGATCCTCGAGGTCTGGACGGCCCTCGAGCAGCAGGAGCCCGGGGCCAACCACTGCCGGGACCTGGCCCTCGAGCAGTACGAGCGCTACAAGGTGGCCTGCTCGGAGGCCAGCAAGACGGGCACCGGSGGGTCCCAGGGAGGCGGGACCGGCCCCCCCGGAAGCAAGGCCGCCAAGCTGGGGGCCCTGGCCTCGCCCCACGGGGCCTACGCCCTGGGCAGCGGGAGCACCAGGCTGGCGGGGGGCAAGCGCTCCTACAGCGCGGCCATGGGCGGTGGGGCCTCCCTGTCGGCCTCCTCCKCGGGATCGGCCGCCGGCCTGTGGAAGAACCTGGACGAGGCCACCCTGCTGGCCGGCCTCCCGGACCGCCTCCGGTCCCTCGTCCACCTCAAGCAGCTCGCCAAGGAAATGGTGGTCGGGACYGGGAACCGGCCCATGCGCAAGGCCATCGAGGAGCACGGGAAGAACCTCGACGACGCCTACCTGGCGGAGCTGGTCCGGTACCTCGGGGCCCCGKCGCCAGCGGCGTCCGCACCCGTCGCCGGTGCCACCGAGGACGTCGARATGGGAACCGGGGCGGATCCCAAGGAAGAAGACGCGGGCGCAAGGGCTCCCGCCTCGTCCTACCAGAGCGCCCTGGAGGCCGCCTTTCTCTACCGGTACGCCTCGACGCTCCAGGAACAGAAGCTCCTGGCGGACGCCTACCACAAGCACACCTGCGCCTGGTGCCTGGACCCCTCCGGCGGCGCTTCCTCCGCTGCGGAAGACCTCCCCCGGGCGGCGGCCCCTTCCAGTGCCCCGACCGCCGAGGCCCACGTCCCGCCGGTCGTCGAGGCCCCGGTCCCCGACGGGGGGGAGGCCGCCGCCGCCGTCGCGGCGGCCGCAGCGGTGGACGTGGCCGTGGTGGCGGCCGTCGAGGACCAGGGCGCCTTTGCGACGGAAGTATAGCACGCCGGTGCGGGTTAGCTGCCGTGGCGGGAGGGCACGGGACGGCCAGGGAAGGCATCGAAAAAAAAAACAATCGAGCAAGAAAAACAAAGCGAAACGAACGTGCTCGAWAAGAAGCACCATCCGTTTCTCAAACGGAAGCAACCGGATGGCACCATCGATTCGGACGACAACACCAGCAACAATAGTCATAGTGRTTAGAATAAGTGCAGCATAATGCTATAGTTTACAGCAATCAAAMTCTACGCTTCCGATTCAATTCATAGAGTGGCAACAACGGACACAAGATTCTGGAGTTTTGGAGCTGTGGTTGCTTCTTTTCACGGTTCGCAGCAAGGAGTACTATCATCCTACCAGCATCGGGCTACTAGGCTCTACGTTGCTGAAGATCAGAAATGATAGAATCGACGTGCAAGACGATATTTTGTTGTGTGGTAATATCGATGTTATATTATTATTGTATCTATGTTTTATCTTCGTGCAATATAGTTCAGGTTTCGACTATTCGCGAGGCCTYKCWATGAGATCCGAAGCGGGATCAGACGGATTKCTAGTATCTCTGTGATCTTTTCCCCAAGATTCRSTTCCGGCGGACTGCTCTATTCTATGCAGTCGGGTCTGGTCGGGTCTCAATTGCACACAAATGTTTGCGTGTCCGACGAGCAGCTGCAGAGAGTGATGGTGTTTCTGCGGATAAAGGTGCACGATCCGGTCGTTTTCCCGGCGGGCAAGGCGCACGAGTCTCCCGTGTTGGGGACGTCGGGGGGGCACCACTGKGTGGGATTCCCRGTGGTGGGTTCTGCCGGAYCTTTTGCCGTTGCCGGGGGTCGAAGCCCGCTGCCGGGGAAGGGCCTGGGTTCGCAAACAAACCTGCTGGTTCCGTCTCCGTTGCAGACACAGGCCTGGTGGTCGTTGTTGGGGGGTTCTCCGGCCGGGGCGCTCGAGGTGTAGAAACAGGTTCCCCGGACCATTCCGGTCAGCGGACACTCCGTGTCGCTGCCGGGGAACAGCTCGGGGCACCAGCTGCCTTCCGGGAGGGCGCGGGGGGACGGCGGGGGCGTGGGGGCTCCGCCGGGGAAKGGGCTCGGCTCGCACCAGAACTTTCCGGCCATTTCGGCGTTGCACGAGCACGCCTGCGAGTCCGTGTTCGGGGTCTCGCCCTCCTTGGCGCTGGAGCTATAGTAGCAGGTTCCCCGGAACATTCCGGTCAGCGGGCAATCCGTGTTGGTTCCGGGAAAGTACGTCGGGCACCAACCGGAATCGTCGTTTAGGATCCTGCGCTGGAGTTGCCCGGTGTTGCTTCTGCCGCGGAGCTGGGGTCCGGCAGCAGCAACATTTGCTAGTTTTTCCGACGTGATGATGAGTAGGGTTGCGGAGATAAAAGTTAAAAGATTCATTGTTATTGTTTCTATTTTGAATTGGTATCGGCGTTTGTGTGTTGGTGTTTTCGATTTTGTGACAAGATGATGTCGTCCCGAAACACGAGACTTTTTCTTGGCCACGTTCTTCCCCTAGAGGCGTGAACAAAAATTGCGCGGCAATGCATTGTTACWATTGCCCTCGAGTTTTTGGATTTGAATCGTGTCGCGTATGGTGCACGATTGGAGGACGGAAAAGTTGCTCAAATTCGCCTTCGAAGGGTACTGTACCATACCGTAATCCTGTAGCAAAAATACGTAAAATAATGYACAGTTTGTGTGTGTTAGGCGAAACCGCAATCACGAGTAGCTGGTGGCTGAATACTTCCAGTCTGTTTTAGACCACCTAAGCATGCACTAGGAAGGAGCCTATTCACATTGCACAGGTTATGAGCAACAAGCGACTTACCTCTTTACCTCCTCATCAACACCAAAAGTCTCTTGATAGTTTGATTTACTATCGTTCATGCAACTCGGGGAACCCTAGTTCTGGCTTTCCCATCTTGCCTATTCGGAAGCCCCGCGAATCCGGAACTGTCCGACCTTGCGGAAATTCCAAGGAGAACCCTGTATTGAAAATCCACACAGTGCASTTGTCTTGATACGAAACCGACTCGTATTTCTTGGTTGGGTTGGGTCGGGTTCTCCATGGATTGCAAGCAAGAACCTAGCAGCGGGGAAGGGTCTCGCGGCGCGGCGGATGGCATTCCCCCCCGCCGAGACGCACCGATGYAGATCGCACCGGACCGGTGGCGGCACGGTTCGCTCAAAAGGCGATGCGCACGCGATCCATGGCACGCACCTTATCCCCTGCCCTTGTCCGGGTCCGTGGCGTAGCGGCTCCCCATCACGTCGTACCGGTGCGTGCTTGTGCCCCTCTCGTAGGTCCGGACGGTCCCTTTCGTGCCGGAGCACTGGCGCTTGAGCGCCACCGCCTGGGCCAGAAAGTAGGTTGCTCCCCCCATGGCGATGTAGTTGTCGAGGAGTTCCTCGTGGGCCTCGATGGGACGCTCCGTGGCATCGATGTGCTCGAGGCCTTCGTGCCGGTCGTAGTTCGGGTTGTAGGACTTWCCGTTCTTGAATTCCAGCGGAATGTCAAAGGCCTCCGGATYCGGATCGTGGCCGTCGGGRACAATGTCGAACTCCGTCAGCTCGTAGTCGAAACCAATGTTGGACGTTCCGTTGCATCCGTGGTTGATAAAGGTGCCAATCCCGGAGTTGATCTCRATSCCCGACCACGAGTTGCGGTAGCCATAGGCATCGGCGTAGATCTGAACGATGCAGTGGAAGGAGTCCAGTTCCRCCCTTTTTCGGCCGGSTCTTTCCGTTCGGTCCGGCAGGCAGAACCGGTGCAGCATTTGTTCGACCATTCCCGAACCCCCCGGCGAGAAGGAAACCAGGTGGATGGCGTTCTCGAGCATGATGTACGACTCGGTGACCAGGTCGACGGCCGCAAAGACCCCCCGGCCCGCGTTCGCGCCAACGGTGCTCTGCCCGACGTAAAAGTTCCGAGAGGGGACGTTCGGGTAGTGCGGATCGAAGCCATCCAAGCAGTAGAACTCCTCGTCTTCCTGGAAGAGGTCTCCCTCCGGGATAAGGTCCTCGTAGTGCTCGCAGGACGATACGGCGCTGTGCTTGGAGGGCCGCTGGATGCGGACCATCTCCGCAGAATCAAAGTACCGGACGCCGTGTTCTTCCCCGTCCKGGAAGCGKCCGCCCCTCCACCGCTGCTTCATGGCGAGCTTGTAGCCCGCCTCGGTCGACCTCCAGTTCGGGTATCCGTGGCGGTGGGACCGAAAGGCGACGGCGAGGTTCGTKGCGATCCCCATGGCCTCGAAGACGTCGTAGTCCGTGACGTGGGCAAACGGGCTCGACCAGTGGTTCTCCRKTTCGGGATCGACGAAAAAGTGCTCGATGCGGTCGATGTTGGTGGTGCCCCCCTTGCCGCTGCCCCCTCGCGGCTTCCGGGAGGGGTGGTCCAGCGGGTAGGTCTTTCCCACCCGCTTGACGGCCACGCCATCGGTGGCCGCGTAGAGGTCTTCCTCCCACCGTGTGTGGTRCCCGCAGGTCCGATCGCCGGACGCSRGSTCGTCCCAACGGCCCGCCAGCACGATGGACACGTCGTGGTGCGCTGGTGCACCGCTCGTTCGCAGGTGCTCCCATGGGTTCGTTTCGCACGGATCGACGTACAAACAGTCCAGGTCCAGAGAGTCTTGTCTCCCGGAAGCCCCGAGAAGGCCCGCGAGGAGTTCCGGGCACGATCCCTGCGAGCCACCGTGGGTTCGTCTTGCATCGCTGCCCGCCACAAAGACCACCGTGGCCCGTTCGATGGCATCGTAKACGAGTATCTCGGAGAGCAGGTCCCTGGCCATCTCGTTGCCCGCATCCCTTTCCGCGCTTGGACCGCTGTCCACCGCCAAAGCGATCGACCGCGGCACCGGAYGGGTCGTCAGGAGGACCGGGTGGACGACAAACTCCGCAAAGCGCTTCCTCCGCTCCCGCTCCTCCGGTCGTTGYCGGGTGGTCTCCCAAGCCGCCCGTGCCCGCCGTTCGCGAAGGGTCGCAGGGGAGCGGGCAAAGTGTTCCTCTTGTCGGCGCATTCGCATTGCATCCATCGAGGATTCTTCTGGCAGAAGGGGCGTGCCCATCCAGAGAGACTGCCTTTTGACGAAGGACGACGCGGACCTTCCGGACCAAAACCCAACCAGCGAGGCGAGCACGATCCACGCACCGAACCGGAACGCCGAACGCCGGGCCTTTCCCTTCTCGGGGGCGTTTCGGGGCAGCAAAGGGACGATGTTTTTGCCACTACAGATGGTACCACAACAGGAAGCAGGATCCGCGGCAACTTCCACGACGAGTCTCGGAGGGATCGGGCCGGGGAGATTTTCTTCGGCGAAAAAGACGCCCTCCACGAGTTCCGGGGTCCCCGGGCTGGTGAAAAAAACACCCTCCACGAGTTCCGGTGTTTCTGGGCTCGCGGGCCGTTCCGTGGAACGTTTCGAGTGGCGTTCCGGGGTGACCGGGTGGAGGAGGCCGGAGCAAGCTTGACCCGAAGAGGCGGACTCCTCCGATGCGCTGCCCGATGCCGTTCCGTCGTCGCCGTCGTTATCTCTCCCCTTGTTGGCTTCGAGAGGTTGTTCCTCTTCCATGGTGGGTGGTTTGATGGGTGGCTTGATGGGTTGGTTGATTCGATGGTTGGTTGGGATTGCACAATGCCTCTGCCTGAGCAAAACTGCAGACGGAAAGAGTGTTCTGTGGTTCGGAGCAACAATACCGCAGCAGCAGCCGATCCCGTTTTCTGCGCTCTCGGATGGAATCAAATCCGGCGGAAACCGCCAGAAAACGTGCTCGACGGGTTTCCACCGAGCGCGGAACCGAACGAGACGTCGACCGACTGCGGATTCACGGGATTCGGCGTTTTGCGTTTTCGTTTCCGACAAACGAAATCGATGAGCACGTGTTCCCGCGACGGATCCCAAAACAGAGCCGCGATGAGTGGCCGAAAGAACTCCTCCTCCTTAAGAATTWTCTCTCGGAGGGGCGGGAATTCGCACAAGTTTGGTCGCACATCAGGCGTTAGAGAAAAAAAATCGGTGAATAGCGCCATTCATACTTAACCCCTTTTGACAAAATTAGTACCGAAGTCCCTTTTTTCTGGGTATGAACGGATGATTCCCTTTCACATTGTGTCAAAGCTGRCCTACGGGCCTACCGTACGCTACGTACGGTACCCCAAATACGGGTACTTGTTCGGCTTCCGTCTTCCCATGTGTCGAGTAAGTCGAAGAAAGACCAACGAACATCCAGGATCATTCACAGGAGTCATAGTAGTAAATACTACAATTTTTATGAACCAAACACGGTATCGTACCATACGGTAATATCCAACGAGATTGCTAGTACCAGTACCGTAAGGTACCCTACGAGGTTACCGCTAACCCATACATGTAAAAATAGTATCATCTTACAGTACCTTTCATATCGTATCATAATGGACACCTCTCGACCGCAAGTCACAAGTCACTCAACGGCAGAGCTACTCGTACTCAGGTTCGATGCAAACGCTGGCATACTAAGTATCGTACAGTACTTTATTTACTTAGATTTTCCGCTAATGGTACAATGCTACTACAGATATATCCTTGGAGACGCAAAAAAWTCCTTTGGTGTGGGTGAAACAGGAACCTTCCGATGGCATTGGTATTACTACTATTTATTATTGTATCTGTGCATCTCCTCTTTTCGAAGGTCCGAAGTTTCTGTGGTACGATGAACTCGTACCAAGAAGAATTTGAATTATCTCTGATAGTTCGATGATTTTCTCATCAGATTGCTAGTAACTTCTCGATGGATTGGCAGGGATTTCCCCATGATATGAACGGTTGCTGACAGCAAGACCACTTTCTCGATAGAACGTCGGAATCGTTTGGATGGACCGATAGAATTGTTACGATGGTATGTATTACAATTGATATCAAAATCTTTTCTCAGTAGAATACCAGAACTTCTTCGGTGGTTGCATAGAAATTTTCGGATGGTATGCATAAAATTTGATAGTATGACCATTTTCCATTAGTACGTAAGAAGCTTCAAGTGGTATCGATCCATCTTTTTGGTGAGCTGATAGAAAATTTTGATGTCGTTGATAGTTATTGGTAGTACAATCATTTCTTGGGTTGAACASCAGAGCCTTCTATTGGTATGTCTCCATGATTTTGATGTCAGGACAAAAATATCTGCTAGTATGAATAATTCTTGATAGTATCACCAATTTCTCGMTAGGATGTCGCAGCCTTCTGATAGTATACTATATCCATCTTTTCGGTGAACTGATAGAAATATTGGCTGTACGATCATTTCCAGATTTTTTTAATGGTTTCCAAAAATCTTCCAGTGGTATGCGCGAACCTTCTGGAGATGTGATGGATTTTTCGATGGAACCGGATCTGAGTAGAAATTTCCGATGTTCTTCMGTAAGTTCCAAGACGAACCCCAAAACCAACACCGCACGTACGGTACGGTACCAGGTACGTCCGTACTTCGTGGTAACAAATCCAGATGCCCAAAAAMAWRCAAGGGAAACTGCGCATCGCATCATATTGCAACAAGCMCTGACCAACGCTAGCTTGCCTCACATCGCGGTTGCCGATATTCGCATCGGCCTTCGCCTCTGTATTGACAGGGGTTGCCACAAGCAGATTACCAAGAACAGCAACAGCGCACACTGGATTGTTTGCAATGCCCGAGGCGCTGCGCATACCGATGGGGAGAACGCCTGCGATGCCGATGATGCCGATGCTTCTTGTGCTTCTGTCGTTCCTGTTCGCAACGGCGGTGGGGCTTGCGGTTCCGGGRACCACCGGTGGGCCCCCCGCGTGGGGACCGGCTTTCCCACGGGCCTTCCTCCCTGGCAGRGCCTCGTGTTCGCACCGCGGGGGCCGGAGCCGCGGTGGATCCCTTCCACTCCCGAGGGAACCCGYTCGCCGCCTCCGGAACGGGACGGGCTTTCGTTCGGCGCAAGGCACCGGAGACGGGGACCGGTCCGCTCGCCCGGACGACGACGCCCACGGCGGGAGGTTCGTGGTGCTCCTGGAGGACTACGGGAGCGCTGCGGGGCCCTACTTTTACGCCCTCTTCGACCAGATGCACGAGCAGTGCTTGGCCGGGCAACCGGAAACAGCTCCAAGGGTTCTGGTTTGCACCACGCGGAGGGACCTGGAGGAACTCGCCGGGGAACCCAGCGGGGGCAAGAACACCAACGGCGGCGGCGGCGACAACGGTGGCCCGGACGTTGCGGCCCGCCGCTGGCTGGAAGACCTGCGGTCCTCCCTCGCACTCGAGAACGATCCGGAGCTCTTTGTTCTGGACGACTGGAACCCGTGGCTCCTGGAGCAGCGGTTCTCGCCGGCCCGGGAACCCGGAAGGGAAAGCCCGGACCAAGACGCCGCCGCGGGCAACGCCGAAAGCCCCTCCGATCCCCCGACCGTCGTCTGGCTCCGCGGGACCTCCAACGCCTTTGCGACGCGGCACCTCCTGCGGACGAGCGGTTTCGACGCCCTCCTCCGGGCGTGGTGCGGCCCGGGGGCCGGGGRGCCCTGCGCCCTCCTGGTCGGGGAGGGGACCGGGGCGGCCTGCGCCGGCGAGACCATGGCCGCGGCCCGCGTCCGGGGCGACGACCCCTCGGGAGCCCCCGAGCTCCAGGCCTCCGGCCTGGGGCTGGTCGGGGACGCCGCCGCGGAGGCCGCCGTTTCCACCGGGAGAAACGATCCCGGGGCCTGCCTCGTCTGGGCGCAGGTCCCGGCGGGGGGAAGGGCGCCCACGGAGGAGGCTCCCACCGATGCGGGTGCCGCCACGAGCTTTGTCTTCCGGCCGGCCCAGAGGGGATCCATCGAGGGGTACGACCCGGAACGGGAGCCCCTCCCCCCCCTGGCCGCTCCGGACGGCGAGGGGGTGGCCTGCACCGGGGAGCCCTCCGTCGATCCCTCCCGGGCGGCGCAGGCCGGGGGGATCGGGGACTCGGAGTGGTGGGAGTGAGCGAGCGAGCGTGCCGCGGGAGTGGCGCGGAGCATCGCTCCCRTGGGAWTCCCCGTCGCGRAGCGAAGCGAACCGCTCTTCTGCCGTGCCGTGCTCGCTCCGGTGGATCCACTCGTCGCACGAGACAATGCTTATGCGGGTACAAACCTACCCAGTTGGCGGTAGGGGCGGGGCATACCGGATGCACACAGGAGGAACGGATTGCAGGCTCGTTCTTGTTTTTTCCAAACTGTACTACCAGATCGAGGACTCGATACGAGCTCGTGCCACTTCCTGTATGAAAGGAAAGAGCTCGTGGAGCAAAACACCAAAAATGGAAGCCGTGGAAAGAATATTCTTCCGTTGGATCCTACTCTGCCATATTGGATCGCAATGCCGATCACACCGGTTTTCGAAAAATTATTCCCRCAAGAGCGTGCAAGAAAACTCCGAGGAAATACCGCTTGCTGCGGTGCAACGCACACGGGCGGGCAACTCAACGGATTCCCGAATCGAGGATATGCGATGCGATGCGCTGTTGGCGTTGGTGTTGGTGTTGGAGTTGGAGTGCCACGTTCAAACGAAAGCAAAAAAACAATCCCACACAAAATTTCGACCCTTGCCCTCGAAGAATGCTGGTTTTGCTCCCGGGAGAGGTGGGCATGGCTATCCCGGACGGTTGCAGCGAGAGTCCGCTGTCGTCTAATGTAGAACGCAGCACAATTCAACCCSAACCCCAACCGGCACAAAACAGAGCCTGCGTTGCATCCCACACGGCGCRAAGGATCGATCTCCGACGGGCAACCAACAAGCGCTTGCTTCGACCGAAACCGCAAACCATGGCACCGCACACCATTGCACCTGCCACGGGCTCCGATTGCTCGGACCTGTCCGTCATTCCCGAGGAGGAACTGTCGTGTGTCTCTTGTGGTTCGACTGCCTCTGYGCCCGAGGGATCCGGAACCCTGGCGAGGGGGACCTTCTCCACCRGGGGCGTCCATTGGGRAAGCCCGCCGGCCCMGAGCGGGTCGAGCGCCTGCGAAAGGGACGATTCGGTRCCCRGCGGAGACCCGGGGCAGACCGCCGCGAAGCTCTTTGATTTCAAGAAGAARCTCGTCGTCGTCTGGAAGAGGCTCGAAAAGGCGGAGCAGCAGATCGTCCTCGAACGGCACCGCCGGCGCACCAGCGGTGGAGAAACCGAGGCGGAACCCGGCGGAATAGAACCAGAAGAACCACCCCGCTGCGTGCCCGTGAAAATCACCGTGGAAACCAGGGATGCCCCGGATCCCGCAAGCGAAGCGGGTCCGGTGGCTCCCGTAGAAGGTGCCCCGGCGTCGGCCGCCTCGGTGGGAGACGAGGGGATCGAGGTGGCCGACCTGGAACTCGCCGCCATGTGTTCTAGGAACGAAAGGACTTCCACAGCGGAAAATGGAAGTATTGCTCCAACCGGCCGTCGTTCCACCCGTGGGGGACGAGGCGAATCCGAGGAGATTGCCTTTGTAGGAGACTTTGGAATCGAGTTGTTCGATGCGGTGGGTGATCCGGAGGCTCCCTCTGCCCAAGACAATGCAGCAATCGATGCTTTGGAAGAGGCCATGGYCGCAAAGAAAGCAGAAAATGTAGCAGTTGTTTTGGGACCCGATGTCCAAGAAAGAGCAGAACGAGCGAAAACTGAGTCCGCGGAAAACGAAAGGAATATTTCATCCGGCGTGTGCTGCCCCTCGAAAAGCGTTGCGAAAACTWCCGTGAGGAAAGACGAAATGGCCATTGCTCCCAATGCGGGCCGTCCTTTGAAAGGAGACGAASTCGCGGAGAGAAATCCAGTGGAAACCAAAAGGGCCGTCACACCCGCCGTGGTCCGTCCTTTGCAAGAACCCGAAGGGTACGTTGCATCSGGCTGCAGCCAACGTTTGAGAGACCCCACGCCGAGAGACGCCGTAGAGATTGCTGCGGCAGAAGGCGGACGATCAGCGGGTGTTTGGAAGGATGTTGTGAATGCACCACCTTTGRAAGGAGCACCTTTGGGAGGAATCGCCGATCGCAAGGACGTGCTAGAAAGTCTTTTGGACCACCTCGGCGTGGACAAGATGTGTGGCCTGGAGGACCCGGAGGGTTTCGACGCTGCTGTTCCGAGAAACGAGAAACAAGAAGGAGGAAGAGCACCAGCTTTTGTCCTTCCCATCCCCTCKTYCTGTTCATCCCAAATGGCTTTGGACAASCAAACCCGCCTAGGCGTCAGAGCCAAGGACCCGGTGCTCATGACACCGACGCCCTTGGTCGTTGATTGCCGATTCCAAAAGGTACACGGTGCGAACGRTGTTTTKGAAAACAATGCCGTGCTCTGGCGCAAKGAKCGCAGACGGCTGCTCGTCGACAACGGATTTCCGTTGTTTTCTCATCTCGATCCYTTTGAGAACGAATTTGTGGACGACGGAAACGATGCCCTGAAAGTCTTTGAACGGATTGCAAGCATTTGTGATCCAGCAGGATTCGACGCTGACGAGCACDCAGATAAGACGTAGAACTTTGTGGCAACGATCCAGTCCATAGCATTGCCCATATTTCTTCGAATCTGGAGTACTAGTAATAGGACTAGGACTCGAATTACACTCCTTCTGTTRGTTGTAATTTCATGAATACCATCTATGAATAAACTGACTACCTCATCTGGSACCTGTATAATTTTGYTACTGATTTCTAATTCATTCACACACATTATAAATAGTTTCGACACACTTTTCGCATACACGCATGKGTACGCCAATTGAAAAAGTGCCATGATTCACTGCGCATTTGATGATGCCGGAAGTGAGTCGCCTTCATTTGCCGCGACCACTGTGGTGCCATGGTCTTAGTCTGAGTCAGAGTATGACGCTTGTGAATGAATTGATTCTTCATTGAACTTTTCTGGGATATTTTCGAGGGCTTCCCTTTGCTCCTCCGTTGTCATATCCCGCAAATAAGAACTTCGTACTCCGTCCATCATTTTCTGAATCTCAGTATTCCTCTTTCTTTTCTTTTTTTTTGGTTTTCTTCCATAAAGCTTGAAATTGTTCCTGTCTTTTTTGTGTGCTTTGCGGTCTTTGGTGTCTTGCACTACGCGATTTGTTATGAAGAAGTTATTGATTTCTTCACCCCTTGTTGATSAAACAAATTGTCAATTGCGTCGAGATGAGCTCGTTGCTCGCGTGTCGACAATTGTCCAAACTCATTATCGGATATTCCAGTTTTAGTGTCAAGATCCGCACAACTCATTCCAAGCTCATCTTTTGCGTGAGTCCACCTTTCTCTTTGATTTTCCAGATATTTTTGGTTGTTACCACGTTTCCACCTCTGGTGTGCGAACCAAATACCGAGCACTACGACAATAAATCCCAAAATGGCCCCAACAATGGTAACAATCATTTTCCAGTTGGAGTTGCTTTTGGGTTCGCCATTGCCATCGCCATTGCCATCACCATTGTCATTGCCATTG